TTCAGTGAAGAATACTTTGAAAATACAGTAACTAAAAAATATGCCAACTGCACTAAGTAATGAATAGCTTCGAGAATCGAATTATGTTACCTATTAAGAAATTCGAAAAACTACCCCGCACATCATCCAATGTCGCCTTACAGTAGACGCGACGCGCAATGGCTAACTGCGTTGTTTCATAGATTTCGAATCACAGTAGAATCATATTAGACAATGGAAGTCCGAATTAATGAAGTTCTCTATGAAACATTGTCAATAACTTTCAAACAAGTATATCCTATTTGTATATATGTCAAAACTTTACTGAAAAAAGTTGAACAGGATCAGAATTTATGACACTATACTCAATTTTAAAAAGACTCAACCACTTTGAATGTTTAGTTAAGTGAATTATAGTCCATTCGTTATTATCTAAGAATGAAAGAATTTCAAGAATGCAAACGTTCAGGTACAAAGAAAGTAACATAGTCGTCTCAAGCAAGTGGCACTGCAATTCATCCACAAAGTCACTGAGATATTTCTCCCCGCTATGAGCAGCCATTAAAATGGTAAGTTGCAACAAACTGAGGGCATTAATATAAATTTTTCAATGATATAATTCGAGATTTATTTGAGTGTTTTACAGTAAGTTTACAACATGTCATACATAGAAAATAGTCATAGAGAGACGTGTATTATGTAAACTGATAAAAAACTTTTCATTACTTTCAAATTCAAAAGTACATCACGAACACAAATTACAATATAACATAACGTACATATTAAAATATGTTCACAAATATGAATATATAAGTGAATGATTAATGCTTAATATGGTATTACTCAATAGATTATTAATTATTTGAAAAATCATCAATACTATTAAAAAAGTGGTCTAAAAGTATATCTCTAATGAGTAACTCTTTTTAATTCAATATTATTCAGTGAATGCATCTCTTAAAGGCCTTTTTTGAGACCCGAACATTTTTGCGACATGGCATGAATTACCCCATGAAATTGGGCCATAACTAATTCGGGAGTAGAATAAATGAAAATATGAGAGAGAGAGAGAGAAAGAGAATATACTTTATTGTCATAAGATTGATATTGTGGACAAAGTTTCACTTAATATACAATGCAATTATATGTAAAAACAAAGTGCATTTATTTTCAGTCATACATATTTCTTGTACTTTATAGTATGGTCTGTCACTTAAAAAGCTTTTCACAGCTTTCCTGAAGCATTGTAAAGATTTTATTTCTGTTATATTCTTTGGCAAAAGGTTGAACATTTTGCAACCATTATAGATAATGGAATCTCTTATGAGTGATGTCCTAGTTATTGGCAACTTAATGTTGTTGGATTGCCTTGTCACATAATGGGTTGGTGAAGATTGAAATGTGCTGGAATATTTTTCAATTAAACAAACTGTTTCCATTATACAGATAGAAATCACTGTTAGAATTCCATGAGTGTTGAAGAGTAATCTACAAGAGTCTGTACGTTTTGATTTGCACATATATCTCATGGCTCGTTTTTGCAAAACTAAAATATTTTGAAGTAGATAACCACTACATACTCCCCAAAATGAAATTCCATATCTCAAGTGAGATTCCACCAAAGAAAAATAAACAGTCTTAATGAATTCCGTATCACTGTAAATCCAAGATGACCGCAGCTATAGAAAGGCAGATTATCTACATATTGTTTCACGACTACCTCAATATGTGTATCAAATGACAAACAAGGCTTGACTAGTAGAATAGTAGTACAGTTTGAAAAAGATGCAAATTCAAGATGGCCGCAGCTACAGAATGGGGGATTACATATTAACTTGTAATACTGAGGCACTAAATAAACTAAACAGAATGAGAAGAATTGAGTACCAAGATCAGAAACTAAAATCTTGAAAATGAAATAAGTAAAAAAAAATATGTTGAACGGTTTCATTGAAATAAATAATCATGTAGATGATGTACTAAAAACTGAAAAATAATGTATAAGTTCCTAGGTAACAGTCATCACATCACTCTTCTCAGCAATCTACGGTATTGATCAGATAAAAAAATAATGAAATCGTTGGGCGTAGTATTTACATATTTACTCAGGTTACTCTACGCCCAACCATTTTATTATTTTTTTATCTCATCAATTCATTTCAGCTCAAATTCTGTTTCAAGACATTGTTACACTTTGGCTTTGGAAGGTTTTGACTGGTTTATTTTCCATGATGCTTTGTTGAACAGAGCTTCGATGCCTGAGAAAGGATAACTTGATTTCAAAAAACTCTCTTGTAGAGGCGGAATTGTAGGTTTATTTCCAGGGCTTTTTCTACAGCTGAAAATCGAATGAGTCATCTGAAGAAACGTTCCTATATTGCTTTTCTCTATTATAATGTTATTTTTACAATTTTTGAGATTTGTTGACCAATGTGAATTTTTTTTATCGACCTTTTATGTTCTATTCATCAGTAACTTGTCGTATTTAACAAATTTGCCTATCAAAAAAATTGCTAAGAAATAATACAATACTCATCTTAACGTTTTGGAGGCCAAAATCTGCCTCCGTCTTCAGAAATTGACAAAAAATTCAAAGATATTTGCAGTTATTCCTTTGCTGATTATTTATTTCTCAACTTCTTCGACAGATTTCAAATGAGTTCTGAAATGTGTCTTTATGTCAATGTTGTTGATTGACAATTTTCATAAAGTTTTGCATCATAATTTTCATATTTTTCAGATTGTAAAAGGTAAAAACACCCAAAAAAGGTTGATAAAAAACTGATATTTTTCCATAAAAAATGACTTCCGTTAAATATGTGAAATTTTTCTTTCAAGTCAGCACTTTGGTAAATTTGGTTATATGTTATTTCTTCTCAATTTGTGGTTGATGAATTCGGTTTTTATTTACTAATTTTGAAATTTAGATCAGTAAAAGTAAAATTTCATATAGGTTTCTGTGGGAAAAGAATGAAATCATAATTATTTTTTGTAGGTAACAGTGATATTTCCATTCCATTCCAAATGTTTGGAGCATTGAAAAAAGTGATTCCTGTCTAATTCAATTGTTCACATTTTGAAAATATTTGGTTCAGATGGCCTCTTCCTTCCGTTTTGTATATGAAAGAAACTCCTCTGTATGATTTTTGTTGATTGAGAGTTTCTATTCTAGTAATTTTCTTTCTTCATTTCTTTAGAGTTTTATAAAAATGTTCGTTCAATGATGAAGAAGTAGAAAGCCAAAAGTTGACAAATCAGCCAACTCGATACATTGTAAATAGCTATCAAATAAGAGGTATGTGAGAACATTAATAAGAGGAGTAGTTCGGAGTAAAATTACCTACATATTTCAAACATTCAGTTACTCACAAAACATACATTTTCATCAGTCAAGTGTTTTGAACTGAAAAAATCTAGAAGTCGTAAAAGGAGGAAGATACTGAAATGTGAGACGTTTACCTTATGACATGAAAGTTTTGTATGCAGTGCAGTTATATAAGTGTATACCCTGGGGCGATTCATGTATAATCTATACGCTGAAAGACATAAATATTTACCTATACAATCTCAGCTTCAGGTAGGCACTTTAATAATAATTAACATTTATTCATTCCCAGGAAATTACAATGGTTTATACAGAGAATTCTTCATACAAGACATATTAATTTATAAATAACTTCAAAGTAGGTTATTTCGAATTGGTCTAATCAACAACAAAAACAAAACAGATATGATAATGTGAATACAACAAATAAATCTTCAATACTATTAAAAACGTATGTGTTGAAAAATTGTTTAACGTCATTGGTAATTATTTATATGCAACTATTCCTTTATAAAATATAGATTTAGTAGTAAATGAATCATGTACATTTCTATGTCTTATGAATTTCATAGTAGAATGTTTTCATTCTTTAATACAGACTGCGGAAAGGTGCATACTTGTAAATCGTAAATAGAATTAATGTCGAGTGAACTCTTTGGTTTATATAGATTTTTAGTTGGTTCTGAGAAAGATATATGAAAAATGCATTTAACGGCTTTATTTCGTTTACTTCTTAATGGTTTCAAAGTTGAGTCTGAGGCAGTTTCCCATATAATAATTGAATACTGTAATTTTGAATGAATTAGTGAGAAGTGAATTAGTTTCAGAGAAATATAGTTTCTTATTTAATATAGAATCCCTTTGATTCGAGACAACTTTTTTTCAAAATACATCGATCTGTATATTCCACGAAAGAGTTTCTTTTTTAATAATATGTAAACCGAAAAACTGAACACTAATGGATCTTTCGAAGTTGTTGTATCTTAACACTGATTTGGAAATAGTTGTCTTACAGGGCTTTTCATCAATAAAGATAAATTGAGATTCTTTGAAATGCAAAATTAATATGTGTATATTGAGCCAAATATCTGTTTGTTTCAAATCAGCTTCTAGTTGTTGGTATATTAATTATGAATCTTCATTAAAATAGATCAAAGTTGTATCATCAGCAAATAGTACTGATTTTTCAGAAAGCTGTAATTCCGAAATGGAATGTATATAAATGAGAAAGAGTAAAGGTCCTAATATAGATTTCTGCAGTACTTTGTAATGAACTTTTTTATTTTCCGAAGACACACATTGCTTTCTATCACTTGAATGATTTTGAAACCTTAAAAATGCACCTCCAATACCAATATCAAATAATTTGTTCAACACGTTTTCTTCATAAAGTCATAATGAAAAAATTGTCATTACATTTCATAAGAACTTGAAATTTTCTGACATCGACCAAATAAAAAAGACTCACTTTGATTGACTGGAATTTTTTGGAGTTTATCCTCACTATGAAATGATATATTCAGCTAAAAATATAGTCACCTGTAACTTATTCAAAATAGGCCTTTTCAGCATCTACAATTATAAGATTTATTGTCAATCTGATGAAATAGGAAAATTGAAAGAAAGTTTCATTTATAAAAGCGTCCTTTTACTTTCAAATCGTTCAATCACAAAGATACTTCGATATGCTATTGACTCAAGGATTAAATTTTGTTGAACGAAATATTTTTAGTTATATGGAAAATTATGTTGATGTTTTTCATCAAACATCTTTGTAAACGTCAGACATTTTCCTGATATTCAGTTTCAACAAGTCAAAATACTTGTAAAATTTAATAAAACTGACCGTCACAGTACAGTATTGTGACGACTGAACATTTTATTGTATAGCGAAACATGTGTCGCGGTTTTGTAAACTATCAGGTGAAAATCTCACCTCAAAATGTTTTTTGAATACAAGATACTCGAACTGGAAAATTGTAATTTCCATATTTGGTATCAAAAATCGAATTCAAAAAATATTACTCTGGTCATTGTGGTTTCCAGCCAGTTCAGTTTTACAGAACGTCATCTTCAACTTCACCTTTCTGAAAATATCTCTTCAGTTTGAGACCAATGGTTTGAAGTTGAGGAACTGAAAGCCAAATTACGGCAATTACTACATTCGACAAAAACGTACTCATAGGAAAAATACTGAGAATATCTAACCGATAATAATAAATTAAATAATACACTAATATCACAAATAAACCCGAAAATATTTCTAAGCAACCCTCGATGATTTTCATTCTTCTTTCATTCAAAAACGTCTCGTACACCATGTTTTCTGTGTATGTCATCATACCATATCCACATCCATATAGTAAACAGCTCCAAACGATGAAGTCGTTAGACAGTTTTTGTTTGGTTAGCACTAGAATTTAAAAAAAAGATGAAATAGTTAGTCATCTATAGTAAGAATAAACTTGGTTGGAATATATAATTTAAAATGCATTGTTGTATAAATATTTTGATAATGTTATAACCAAAATTCACGATTTAGTTTCATGAAAATTTCATTTTACAGTGTACACTGATATCTAAATCCGGGAAACCAGTCGAGTTTTCGAGCAAAAGCTGAACATCACCAATGTTTTGTTGATAGGATATAAGTTGACAAAATATTTCAATCGTAAAACACTTTTTCAAAACTTTTCATACAAAATGGTGCTAATTATGCTGACTCAATAAGATAGATGATCAAGACGAATAATATAGAAACATATTAGGTACTGAAATTCTCACCCAGCGTACCACAAAACTCAATATTAATTCTATATATACTCGTTGATATGGGTTTCAACTAACAAAAGTACCATTTTCGTTAACGTCTTCAAAAAATGACATTTTACGTACTAATTTTCGAAAGAAACATAGTGTTAGGAGATCGACTTCGTGTTTCTACCCTTTGGGAGAGTTGCCTGTTACGCTAATGCATATCAATGGATAAAAAGTAGGTGATTCATGAGTACGAACTGATAACTGAGAAAAAAAGGCTACAAGGCGACAAGTGGAATTGGAGAGTGTGGTATGGTCGATCGTACAGAATAATCATGCAAAGAAGTAACTTTCAGACACATACTGGAAGAAAAAGTTCTTTCGAAGCAGCTTTTCTCATATACCTAAACATTTAATTACACGAAAGGAAAATACTTTCGAAATGAATGCTTTTATATGAACGCTGAATTTGACGAAAAACACTTTTCTCTATTCCGTTTCCATTCCAAACATTCGTAATGGGATCGATCGAAGATGGAGATGTAGAAGGCCAAAAACTTTCTTTCCGAAAAAATTAATCTCTCCTAAAAATATACCCAAGTCAATCAATTACACATGTGTTTGCAATTATGCTTTACACTAGAGCCAGTTATCTTCCTTATTTTTTCTTGTAAATTTTTGCCCGCCGAAATTTTAAGCATAGTTTATGTACAGTACTAATAGTTTTCAAAGAAGTCCTGGATACAACACACACATGCATTCATGCCTAGGTATGTTGTACTCAGAGAGCAAATGTAACCTCAATTTTTTTTTTATAAATTTGTACATGCAATACTTGAAATAAATACTTTAAAAGAAAATGCTGAAATTACTCTAGCAGACATAAATACATATATTATATTCAAATTGAAAGAAGTATATTTTTAGGGAAGATTAATTTTTGAGAAAGAAAAGTTTGCGCGTTCTACTTCTGCGTCTTCATACAGAAAATGCAATTCATTTCAGAATAAACCCTTTTCAAAGATGTGTGGAAAAATCCCTCTCGGAAAAATTAATTTTATATAATCATTGAATTACACGAGAGAAAAAGAATTTTTTTTTCGAAACAGCTACTATTAGGTATATGAACATTAATTCCTACAAAAAACACTGTTTCCTATTCAGTTTGTACTCCCAACATTCGTTATGGACCTGAATCAGATATCATTCACATTACTAGACACTATAGTATATGAAAGAGGTAAAATTTCACTAACATGGAAAACTGTAATCCTCAATGGCGGACATATAAGCGCGTATGTATACTTATAAATGCGAAAGTAACTCACTTAACACTCACTCATTAACCTCTGGCGATAAAGGAGCGCGTTTACATAAGAAAATTACATTTTCATCACTGTTTCCTCGTAGGTACCGCTATATTTTCGGAGGCTTAGATGTTACATGTTGTAGATGTGCAATAATTTTCTAATTGATTCGGCCGTTACTTGATTTCATAAACTACACCTTAGAATTTGATCTCCACAAACTTAATCTGAAAAATATATCTCGACATGTTTCGCTAACACAGTAGCTTCTTCAACAGTGATTTGAATACTACAAGTTGCTTCTTAGGCTATTATTTATATACCACTGGTATCTATAATTGGGACTACCTCCATCAAATTAGATGAACCTTTACAATTTTTATATACCTGGGGTACATCTAGATATATTCAGTTTTCTTTTTGAAAATGTATGCCAAGTTCATCATTTTCTATTCATTTCACAGTCCCATTTGAATTAGGTAATTTTTGATAAATGTTCAGGTGCATAAATTTATTACGCATTTATCAGGAATAATAATCAGCAACATCAGTATTTCTGAGGAATATATCAATATGAAAATGAACTGATGTGACTTGTAACATTTCATATGAAAAATATTTCAATTCTGATAAATTGACGGATGTAGCCGTTAACTACGTGGTAGGAAATCATAATTGAAACTTTCTATGTTTTTTTATCACTTTTATTTGTAACTGACGTTACTGCAGTTTTATCCTATAAGGACATTCTGAAACTTATATATTAAACTAACAATGGTTGATTACATTAGCCCTTATATAGCACCACTGTAGGTAATAATAGAAGTACTTGGCTTGATTGAGTACCTGAATTTTGTTTACTAGTGACAATGCGAATGTGCTAATGTGACAACAGGTGATTAAACTAAATCGACTTGATCATTTAACAGGTGGCACCCGCAAAAATGAGGTGAACAAGTTGAAGAAATCTGAAGTTTATAAGCTTAAGTGTCCGGAGTGTAATAGTGTTTATGTGGGACAATGTGGTCGAAATTTCCAAAAACGGTATGCTGAACATGAAAAAATGCATCATTCTTAAGATACTGAGATTTAAAAATATATAATTTACAACGTTCGTTTCTATAATTGTATTCTAAAAATGCTATTCTTCGAATTTTATCACTGAGGATGGAATTCGTTATCATCTGAATTTTGTTTTATGCTACAGAAACATTCGTTAATCAACTTCAGATAGCGTTTTTTCGACCCGCTCGTCAGTGGTGCAGTGGTGAATCAAGAATGCTTTACTGGACTCAATTATTCCCAACTCAGGCTTGTCCTGAGTAAGTAGAGACAATGATATCTTCTATTACGTCTTCAGTTTTCTTCATCTCCTGAAGACGACAACTTGGTTGGTGAAACGTGCTCATTTTGGGAGATTCCTCATTTTTAACTCAGACTTGTCCTTCAAGGATAGTTTACCACAGAAATGCATTCGTGATTCCGCCTAGTGTCACTGATGAGACCTATGCCGAGTCGAAACATCGCTGTCAGGTATTGTTATCAAAAATGGTGAATTATGGTAAATTATGAACTCTGGATATTTGACAAAATCTTATCATGTTAATAAGATCTAATAAGTATTGCAGCGACATGGTAAGAGAGAGGATTGTAACTCTTTTCTAAAAATAATTTTTATTTTCTTCATCATTACTCACGTATCATGCTGCTTCCAGTTAACGCCAGTCCAAGAATAAATATCCGTCTAAGCTTTTCTTCGTTAATCTTCCGTAACAATGGCAAAAACATCAGAAATAAAGACCAAGCAAACGCCAGATAGGACAACAGTAACGTGGTGTCTTCTTGTTTGTAATATTGGATCTTTTTTCGAGCAAAATATGGAGCCAAGGAAATGAATATTGTTGAATTTAGGGTAAGCATCACTTTGGAAATCACTATTGGATAAAACAAAGGTTCCGTAAACGAATTGAAAATCGGCATGAGAAAGTAATCCAGGCAACAGTACTTTATTTTGAGGAATCTTTGCTTCCAGATGTAGCTGCTACAACAAGAACATCGAGCTCTTTTTCTTACAGTTTCAATTTCTCGAAGAAACGATTTTCTTTCATTTTGATATTCCTGAATGTACTCAATGCTCTGAACTTTCTCACGATTCTCCACTTTCCTCAAGAGATCTTCTATATTCAAAATATCCGTTCTCTCCTCGTTAACTTTGTTCTCTTTCTGGTTAATTTCTTCCAAGATCATACTTATCTTACTCAGCCTTTTTGGGTCTATATAATCATTTTTAGATTTCTGAGTATCTTCTGATTCCTCTGGTATTTCTGGGAGAATTGTAACTCCAGCGATACTGTAGTACATTTGAACGGTTTCATGAGTTAAAGGAACTATGGGTTGTTCGATTTCTTCCACTACTTCGTTTTTGTGGTTCAATATAACGTCTTTGAGAGAAGTGACACTTTTTTCTCCTTCATCTTCTTCATTGTTTCCACTGAGTTCACTCTCTTCATCGTTAGTGTCAATGAAACTAGAGTCTAGGTTATCGACTTTCAGGAGATTCGTAGATCGGCTGAATTCTACCATTTCAGACATTTGACGAGAAAATCTGAAAAACCAATACAGATATTTTGAGAAATAGCAAAAGAACGCCCATGATAACAACATAGTGGAGAATAAATTGAAGGTATTGAAGGTGATAAACGTATAATTTCTGATCATTCCCATATTGATTTCAATTTAAGAGCTACCGGTAGACAGCTGTTTCAGTTACCTTGCCAAATTTTTATGTCAGTGTGTCAGTGTTGGTGGTTCAATTGTTAGGCAGTGACTTACAACACAACCTAAGAAAACAAATTATTTATAGTGATCAAAGACACTAGCGCCTCATAGAGACTTGTGACGTCAGACAATCGGAAAACGTTTTGATATAACGTGAAATTTGCAATGACCAGATTAAACTTTGACTATGAATTCGTCGCTGTAATGATAAAAACATGAGTTTTATTGACGATTACCGAAAATATCGAGACATAAAATCAACCAATCACTCAATTCTCTGGAGGACTCTGTTAATGGGGAATAACAAAAAACAACATAGAATCGACAGTTGCAAACCCAGTTGAAAAATTGAGCACATTATCATTTATTCAAATATACTCACGCAGGTAAGGTACTGTAACGAGACATTTCAGGAGAAGGCTCTTTTCCATGATTCCCGGGCGTTTTCAAAACGAAAACTGCAGGGATCACATTTAAAAGTAACGCTGCGAAAATCAGTAGAGCCCGATCCATCGAATAATTCGAAACGAGAAGCAGCATTAGATGGGGTGATATCAACAAACTGATGGCTCGTGCTGACTGAATATTTCCTTCGTATACTTTTGTCCCAAAACGACATTGTTTTGTTGAAAAATATTTGAGCTGGTGGAATATGAGACTTGAGGAAACACCTGAAAATGTTTAATCATTCCTATATCTCAAATATAAAATTATACTGAAAATAATTCATAATTAGAGTTTTCACGAGTACATTTCGCTACGTTTATGAGTTCTTCATGAATGAGTGGCCTGTAGCATTTATCATTTATAACTCAAGACGCCTGTATAAAGTTTGCCAGGTCAGCTAGTATCAAATAGAAGTTATGAATGGACTGACCCATTATTTAATAATAATAATAGGTCTTTATTTCTCACACATACAATACAATTAGTAACAGGGTAGATATACATTTGGGAAATCGCCGGAGATCAGATGGTATCATGTACTACAGTGCATGATATCTCTGTTATTAACCTCAAGCGGTAGAAGATTAATTACATAATAGCTTTTTCTGGCCAGTCCATCAGACATTTCATATATACAAGTGACTTAGAATACAAATGACATATACAAGTTACTCAGAAAAAAAAAGTTACTCAGAAAAAAAAAGAAAAAACATACATAATTAAAATAAGTCATTAGCGTTAGTTTCATTGATCCACTTATTGTGTTATCTCGAATCACATGTGAGTTTGTGCAAACAATTAGAGATTCTTGATTTTTTTCAATTATTCGATATTTAGACTCTTTATATTAGCTGGAATGGAATTATAGGTAAGTGAAACTTGATACGAAAAAGACCGTCTAAATATGTCAGTTCGATGAGAGGGTGGAGTAACAGTTCCTTTGTACCTAATGTTAATATTGTGGACATCTTTTTGAAAGGAGATTTTACGCAGTAGATAAGGGGGAGTTTTATTCGTTTATTTGATGAAAATTAATAACACTCTCCATGATAATGGTTAGTTTCATAAATGAATAAAAGTTAGTCCCGTGGGTTGGGCTACCTATCGGGCGCGTCCCCAGGTGGCGGATAGGGGAACGGCCAGGGGACTAGACCCTGTCCGGGAAGCCAATGTGGCCTTACGGACGGGGTCGCCGGACTCCTGCTCAGTGGCAGAAGTATGTAGGGTGAGGGGAACTAAAACTCGTCTAAAGCCTTTGCAAAACATGCCACCGTGGACCAGCCTACCCAAGCTAAGGTGTAAGGAATCGTGCCGACAGCTGAATAGCCGTAGGGTGATATGCGGTTACGAACGATCCCCTTGGGGAACTGGGCGAAACCTCATTGTAATCAACCTAACTCTGGTAATGCGGGGCTCTGCCAGAGATGACCAACTCTTCCCTTGCTACTCGTGGAAACACACATGAATGAAACAAACAGAAACAATAGAAACAAAAACCAATCTCGTGGCTGGACAAAAGTGATCACCTCAATCTAAGGCGGTAGCTGGGGATGAACAGAAATGTCCACCCCAATCTACAGCTTGGAATGAGGCTGGACATAGCAGATCACCTAGTGATGTAATATAAAGGCAAAGGCGTAAGCGCATTTGCAGCGCCAAGGCCAAAAGGAGAAAGAGAGCGAACCTTCCAAAACCTTCGCGGAGGCCACCGTGAGACACCTCAAGGTTGCCAAAGAGAGCGTGTGTTTGGCGAATCTTAGCCTACACCTATGAAGGAGATGTCTCCTAGTGACCAGTCCACCTTCCTGGAAAGGGCGGGATGGACGATGATTTAGGAGGACAACTCCTCGGGAGGATGTACAATGGGTCACATGTGGCCTAAGTGCTGTGGATCTACACTCACCCTCCCTACTCTACAGATACAGAGATACACAATAGAAGTTAGTTACAATAAGTTCAAGTGAAGGCCATCTATGGGATCGAAAGAAGCTCAATCCGTGAATATCAAAGACAATCGCGGCTCCCAAAAGCGGCCAGTTGCAAAACCAAACTTTGACTTCGACAACCGAACTAGATGCGTTCTATTACTTTCACTGCAAGATAAGTAGTTGAACCAGAGCCCATTAACAACAAAACAGAGCTGTTTCGACCCACTGATGCTGGGCTGGAACACAAATGCATCTCTGGGCTGTTGATTCCACAGATGGTGTCTTCGATGTCGAAGCTTGACTTCACTACTGAACGCCATTGGGATCGTCGTTCCTCGTTTATAATAATGGAATAATTCTTCAGTCAATCCCATGGATAGCGTTTTCGTAAAAAGAGATGTAGTCCACCGTACTTTCTCAGGTTTGTTATCTGAGGACAGTTGAGTCTAGCTACGCATGTTTCAACCTAACACCACTGTGAGAGCTATGGTGGATCAAAACGACGCCGTCTGGTATTGAATTGATATTCAAGGATTCACTTCTCTATTGACCATTATAGATTGAGTCTTTGTAAAGGAAGATATCTTTGCCTTTACTTACTCAGGCTTGTCCTTGAGTTTAGTCCAGCAATACATTTATGGTTCAGCCTAGTACCACTTACAAGAGCTATGGTCCATCTCACAAGAGCGCTTCCTGGTATTGGAACATGAATGCGCTGTTTTTGGGCTCTATGCGCGCCATAAGGCGTGACCCGTACTAAGTGAAATGGGCAGATACCGCCAGTTGTCGTCATTTGCACTGAATGTGTTGATAAGATTTCCCAAGTTTGTCAAATGTCCTTATTTCCAGAACTGATGTAAGGTAAGTGAACAGATATTTTGTCATTAATTTGAATATAATTTCCAATCTTATTGGAATTTTTATAGTCATATCCATGAAATCTCAGTTAGTCTTTGCTGAGATGAATATTTCAGAAAAACTTGTTCAGCAGAGCAGGAAATAATTCAAATTATATTATAGTGAACGATGAAAAAGGTACAACAAAATTAGAAGATATCTGACAAAATCACAACACAACAAAAAAATATTTTTCGAATGTTTCCTACACTAAATTAGTCAATTTCTACTAATTTTGGGGTGATAAAAACGAAAATAACAATGAAAAATTTTTATTAGCTCTGGTTTTTGAGATACACAGTACTTAATCTTAAAGAGTAGTTATACTATACGTGAAAAGTGAAAGTACATAAAACAATATTGTTATGTTTCTTTTAGAATA